GCCACTTTGTGTGAATGTGCCGTGCCCTTCCAAGGTGACATGAAGTGTTAAGTGGGAATCTCGGTGCTGGGTGTGGCCGGCATTGGATAACTCTCTACCAGTTTTTAGTCACGAATGCTCCAGAGAGACACAAGCTACTGCTCTTGGCTTTGTCCACCAGAATTAAATGATGAGACTCTATCAGTGAAGGCAGCACAGACTCTGGCTGCAGGACTTCGAGAACTCAAGCTGGAACTTACCTGGAAGTCCCCTGCTGGCTGGTTTTCAGAGGGCCTGAAGGTGCTATGGAAGCTGCTAGGAAAAGTCATCAGTGGTTTTCCCCAGTTGTGAAGTTTGTGTGCTAAAACTACCAACCTGCTGGCAAGATGCACCCATCGATGCTATAGCGGCATGATTGTTATGGGGGACAACTAACAACGTTCTGCTTTGATTTGAGGCTTGCTCCGTGTGAGTCTGTTGCCATAAATCTGGTCAAAAGCCCATGACTGGGGAGGTCATAGGCCCTATGGGGATAACTGACTACTATTGTTTTTGCTGATGTTGTGTTGAACTCCCTTAAATATTTATACCCATACAGGCTGCTCTCAACCTTGGTTAAACTGGCTTCTTCTTTGCAGTGGTCAGCGATTAATACAAAGACTCACAACTGGTCAAAGCTCTAAAACTCAGTGACTGTTGATTGCTCGTCCATAAACGTAACATCTATGCCAAGGCCCTCAAGGCTCAGGGAAAACTATGGTAAACAAACGAGAGCTGGAGGATTGGAAAGGAGTGCCATGATAGGATGTTCTTGGTGCACGCATGCCTGTTGCTTTGTGAACTCACAGCAGCCATGCTTATCTATATAAGTCCCACAAAGCCAGTTGTGGCACATACTGGCAGGATATGTGGAAGAGGCAGAGGCAGGAGGATGATGAGTTTGAAGCCACCTTGAGCTCAAGTTGGGCTGGGAAAACGGCTCACAAGGTAAAGATGCTTGCTGCCAGTCCTGATGACCTGAATTTGATTACCCCACCCACCCACCCACCAACCCTCATGGCAGGTGAAGAGAACTGACTCCAACAAGTTGTCTTCAGACCTCCATATTTGTGCCATGGCAGGTGCATACCCAGCATTACAAATAAATGTAATTAAAAACAAGACTCATACAAGATCAAGCCAACTGACGTTCCAGCATGGACCCTACCCGAACTGACTAGTTACTGACATCTAATGTCTGCTGGGAGGGTGGGAGTAATTTTTCTTAGGGATGGAGCCTGGGGTAGGTTGCCTATGCTCTAGTGGTTGCCTCTACACCCATGGATATACAAATATATAAACAGTACTAATTGGATTCAATGAGCATGAGGATGGGAACTGGAAGATGGATATGATCAAGATATATTGAATATATATATATATGAAATTATCAAAGAATAAAAACCAGAATTCTAAGCTTCCATTTCCTTATCTGTAAAGTCAGACAATAATAGCACACACACCAGAGACTGTTGAAAGAATCCAGAGAGATTATGTAATTTATTATAAACAACCTTATAGTGGACAACACTGTGGCCCAGGGAAGGACAGTTTGGCCACAAGGGAGCAAGAGCCTGGGGAAATCAGCAACTGCAGAGCAACCAGAACCCAGGCCCCTGAGCCTGCACGCCATGCACTCGTGAAGACTCCAAGGAACTCAAAAGCACTAAGCTCTCACAAGCACAGGAAAGAGGGAAGAGGGGGAAACTTCTAGAAGCAGGCTGCCTGACTCAGGCCTATGGCCGAGCCTGCTGGGGCTTGCTCACAAGATGTCCACTTCCAGGATGGTGCTCTCAGCCAAAGGCAACAAGCTTGCTGGCTGCCCTGGCCCATCTGCTCCGATGAGACTCTCCCAAAGCCTGGACTCCCATTGGGTTCAGTCCAAAGAATCTCTTGCAGGGAAGATAAGCAGCTCTTGAGTCGCAGCTGTAGAAATACACAGGCCCAGAGGAGCGCATGCATCTGTTTTCCTGGGCGAGACTCTCAAGTGGGCCGAGGGTATGGCGGACATTGCCCCTCAACTTCCTGTGTGTTGTCTCACCCGGTGGCACCTCCTCTTCTGTCCACAGTGAGATCCCTACCTCCTCTCTCTTCTTCTGCTCCCCAGAGCCCTGTCCTTGCCTGGGTTCTAACCCTCCTTCAACCCCTTCCAGTCCTCATAACTCCATCAGTGGGATTAGATGCTTCATGGATTAAAAGCATGAGTGTGAAAATGGAGATCAGAAGTGGGCTTTCTCTGTTAATGAATGCTTATATGAACTAGGAAAAGATGATGATCTTTTGGGGACCTCAGTTGTCTATTATATGTTATTTCAGACAAGATTGGGTACACTCAGGGTGATAAGGCTAGACATAATTATATGCTATTTCTAATACTGTTGAGCAGATTTTTTCTGAAGAGGCATACCCAATCTCAATTTAAAATTACACACACACACACACACAGAGAGAGAGAGAGAGAGAGAGAGAGAGAGAGAGAGAGAGAGAGAGAGAGAGAGAGAGCAGTGTCATGGCACCAGAGGCAGACATTGACAGTGCACCGTGTACAACTACAGCCAACCAAGTTCTCCAAAGCAGGAAACAACTTAACAGTAACAAACAAGCAGAAACCCCGGATCAAAACACAAACGACCCAGTTGAAAACGGGAAGGGTTTCTTAGGAGATTCAAATGGCCAACAGGTGTGTAAAACATTCTGAGCATCAATAATTATCAGCAAAATGCCAAAGAATGCATATCACCTTGACCCAGTCAGAACGGCTCTTAGAAAAAACATTAAGATTGAAATAAAATACTTAAAAAAAATAGATTAAGAATTAGAAGTGTTGGTGGTGACATGGAGAAAAAAAAACTTTTATACGTTGATAATGGGGCTGGAAATTAGTTACAGCCATCACGTAAAACAGTACAGATATTCCTCAAAAGTTAAAACAGAATTATCATCTGACCTAGCAAGCATATATCCCAAGGAAATGAAATCAGTATCAAGAAACAACCTGAGTCTCACACTTACTGCAGCATTATTTATAAAAGTAAAGGAATTATCAACTGGTAGATGGAGAAAGAAAACTTTTTATATACACAATGGAATACTATAAAGCCATAAAGGGACAAAGCCCCCTTGTCTGTAACACATAAAGAGAATGGTAGGCTACTATGTTAGTGAAATATGCCAATTGCAGAGAGACAAACAGCACATGGTTTCAATGATATGGAGTGTAAAAATGATCGCCCTGTAAAAGTAGAGTAGGCCTGTGGTCACCAGGCCTTGGGGGAAGAGCAAGAAGTGTGGAATGGCTAAAGGGTAGTCAGGGCTACTACGTTACAGCTAGATAAGAAAAAGAAATGACGGTCGTCTATTGTAGAGTAGGGGCCAAAGGTAATCACAGTGATAATAGGGTTATAGATAATATTATACTTGAAAACTCTATAAAAAAGGGATTTTGAATATTTGCATTAGGAGGACCTGATGTTAGAATAAGTAGTCTTACCCTGATTTGAACATTAGGTAATGTGTGTATGTATCAAACCATCACATTTTACCTCAGAAATGTGGACAAGTTTTATGGACCAATCAATAACATTTGGCATGTATTTACATGCACAATTTGGATGTATTTACATGCACAAAATTTTCTTTAAAGAAAACAGTAAAAGCGTGTTATAATGACTGTCTAGTGAGTGGTATCCAGTACCTAGTAAGGGGCTTATGTTTTGAGGTTTATTTTTGCATTGAGTAGATCCAAGTTCAGGGGTAATCTAAACCATCACTGCTCTTTAAAAGGGATCATAGGGCGGGGGGGGGGGGGGGGGGGGGGGGGGGGGGGGGGGGGGGGGGGAGAAAGGATCATAAGAAGTAAAATAGTCTTTGGTCCAGATAACCAATACTTCAGCTATTGGAACATCATGGTATACGATATAGCTAGGGTTTCTCTTCCTGTAAAGAAACACCGTGTCCTGCCGGGCGGTGGTGGCGCACGCCTTTAATCCCAGCACTCGGGAGGCAGAGCCAGGCGGATCTCTGTGAGTTCGAGGCCAGCCTGGGCTACCAAGTGAGTTCCAGGAAAGGCGCAAAGCTACACAGAGAAACCCTGTCTCGGAAAAAAAAAAAAAAAAAGAAACACCGTGTCCAAAGCAAGATGGGAGGTAAGAGTTTCTTTGGCTTACACTTCCACATCATAGTCCATTATTGAAGGTAGCCAGGACAGGAACTCAAACGGGGCAGGACCCTGGAGGCAGGAGCTGATGCAGAGGCTATGGAGCAGTGCTGCTTCCTGGCTTGCTTCCCATGGCTTTCTCAGCCTGCTATCTTAATAGAACACTACCATCTGCCCAGGGGTAGCCCCACCCAGAACGGGCTGGGCCCTCCCCCATCAACCACTAATTAAGAAAATGCCTGTTGCCCTATAGGCATTTTCAGGAGCCCGATCTTATGGAGGCATTTCTCAATCGAGACTCCCTCCTCCCCAATATTCTCACTTGTGTCAAATTGACATAAACTAGCCAGCGCACTTTGTAAGTCTAGAAAGAGAGAAATGTAAGAACTATTCATATTGTGCAATGGTTGGCTTTAGTTGTCAACTTGACACAGTCTAGATTGTCAAGAGACTCTCCATGAGGGACTGTCTAGATGAGGTTAGCCTGCGGGATTGTCTTCTACAGAGGGTCTTGATCACCTTAATCAAAGTGGGAAAAACCCACCCACTGTGAGAGGTATCATTCCCTATGCAAGGGATTCTGAACTGTATGAGAGTGGAGAAAGACAGCCGAGCCGTAACATGCGTTCTTGCTCTCCTTGACTATGGATGCAATGTGACCAGGTGTCTTAAGTTCCTGTGACTGCCTGCAATGGCAGATGGTGACCTGGAACTATGACCCAGAGTCAACTTGCCCCTCCCCCTAATTTTTTTAGCATGTTTTAATCACAGCAACAAGAAAAGAAACTGAGACTGACTTTTAGGATGGTATCTATTTAAGACAGGGTCCGACTGAGATGCTCTGGTTACCTTGAGCGCACAGTGTCCTGGGCAGATCTTGAAATTATGATCATCCCACTTCCGTTTCTTGACTATCCTAGAAATAAAAAGATATTTTGAACTCAAATTTGTAAAAAGTGATCTAAGAAGATTCAAAAGATGCTAGAATTATAGACAAGTAATGTAGGTTTTTTTTTTCTTTCCGTTTTTGCTCCAGTTGTGGAAGTTACATTAGTAGATGAAACTTAGGCTACAGTGAAATTGAGAAAGCTTTATTTAATGACCTTTACTGAAATTTTTGTGTTCTGTCTTTCAAGGTGTGTGCGTGTGTGTGTGTGTGTGTGTGTGTGTGTGTGTGTGTGTGTGCGCACACGTGTGTGAGTGTGTGTGCGCGTGTGTGAGTGTGTGTGTGTGTGTGCGCGTGTGTGAGTGTGCGCGTGTGTGAGTGTGTGCGTGTGTGAGTGTGTGTGTGTGTGTGTGTGTGTGTGTGTGTATGTATTGCTGGAGGTGGAAGCCATGACTTTAAGCATGCCAGACAAGCACTCTGCCACTGTACCCCAGGCTTCATTATTCTTACCTCAGCTAACCAAATTCAATGCTACCACACCTCCAGGCATCCATATTCTTTACCAGCTGAAAGGAAGGGAGAGAACGGCCTAAGGCCAGACACATGAGATTCTGAATTCTGAAATAACCTATGGTAATTACTACATCATTTTCCCTGTATGAAAAACCGTCTGGACTCAAATATACTTCTCTTTATCCTTGAAATTGGGTTGACAACCAGTTTTCACAGGCTTGAGTCTTGCTGCATCATTGGTTTAGCAAAAAACCTGCTGTGGACACTTAGCATCTGGGTTGGAAAAATCTACCAAGCCTGCTTAGAGTCCTGTGTCTGCTAGGACAACAATATGTCAGACCTCTGGTGTCAGCAGTGTATCCCAGCAGATAAATACCAATGAAGGGATACCACTGTTTTCACGGACTTTTCGGTGACTTTCCACTGAACTATGGGAATATTTCTCAGCTGACTCTGACCGAATAGTAACCCAGAGGTCCTGACCACACCGTCTCTGAAGATTCCATTCATTCCTGGCAGACTCCGCTGGCTCAACTTCATTTACCTTCAGCGTCTTGCTGTTACACGGAGGCGCAGAGTTTTGTGCTGTTAGTGGTGCCAAATGGGTATCAGAGGAACAGCATCTACAACCTGCATTTATAATGGCTTCTCTTTCTCCGCTGTTCACTGTGTCAGGCATTTTAAAAATAGCTCCTTTTTATTGATTCCTTGCACGCCCGAGTAGGGTATATTCACTCCCCTCATCCCTAGTATGCAGATGGGGAAACCAAGTTCCAGAGTGATGAACAGCTTGGTCATGGCCACATAGCCAGGTATGAGATGAGATGCACTTAAGCATTTCAGTCTGTGCTTCCAACCACTAGGCTATATATACCATATGCATATACTGAGGCAGATATTCCAAACTCAGAGGCACCTTAGACATCACAGATTACCCCCCCGGATTTTGCAGCTGAGCAAACAGACCCAGTGCGATGATGGAAATTACCTATTGACAGAGCCAGGATTCCAAGCCGTTCTCTTCACACCAGGGCTCAATGCTCTCTGCTGGAATGCCTTTGGTTTCTGCATCACCTTGAGAATTTCAGGTTGAAAAAAAAAATACATGTCTTATGCCCTACTCTTTAAAGAATTTCTATTTGGGTAAACATAAAGTTGTTTCTATTAATTTTCTATAATATACTGACTTCCCATTTCTCTCCCCTTTTAAAATATAGGCTTTATTTTGATTACATTTGTGACTGGGGATATTTAAGGGCTCAGTTGGAAACATGCATGCCTACCATGCACAAAGCTCTAGCACACACAAATGGAGTGTAGAAGTACATGCCTGTAATTCTAGTACTCAAGAAATGAAGGCAGAAGGATCAGAAGTTCAAGGTTATCCTTTGCTACATAATGAGTTTGGGGCTAGCCTGGGATTTCATGAGACCCTGCACTGAGTATTTTATTTATTTGTTTGTTTTTGGTTTTTCAGGACAGGGTTTCTCTGTGTAGCCCTGGCTGTCCTAGAACTCTCTCTATAGATCAGGTTAGCCTAGAACTCAGAGATCCACCTGCCTCTGCCTCCCAGTGCTAGGATTAAAGTCATGTGCCACCATGCCCATCAAGGTATTTAAAATGTACTGCCAAAATGAGTGTGGCGATATCCCATACATATCCTGCCTCTACACACACACATGACTTCACCCAATATAACATGAGATCACCAGAGAGGGATATTTGATGAACCACATACTATCTTTCCAAGTCCAGAGTTTACATTAGGGTTCACTCTTGTTTTTATATATTCGTGTGTGTGTGTGTGTGTGTGTGTGTGTGTGTGTGTGTGTGTGTGTTTCTCATTATAGTATCGTGGAATAGTTCTCATTACTCTAAGAATCTTGTCTCTTCTACCTGTTTATCCTTTCCTCTCCCTTAAAGTCCCTGCCAATCACTGATGTCTTTACAGCTGAGTATTTTCTCGACTACCTATAATGGGGTTTATAGTATGTTGCCTTTTTTTTTTTTTTTTTTTGGATTGGCTTTCTTGCACTGTACTTTGCATTTAAAGACACTGTACCTGTCTTTTCATGGATGGATAGTTCATTTCTTTCCAGGACTGACTATACTATACAATACCAGTTTATTTGTTCATTTGCTTCCTAAAGGGCATCTTGACTGCTTTTGAACTTTGGCATTTGCAAATGATGTTGTCCCGCACACGTTTGTACAAGTGTCTATGTAAACATGAGGTTTCTTCTCCTCTGGGTCAGCACTAAGGACCACAACCACTGGAGCACGTTTCAAGAGCAGATTAATCTCATAAAAAACAAAACAAAACAAAACTTCCTAACACACTTCCAAGATGCCTATACTCTGCTTCTCTTGCCCTACAGTGAATGGGAGCTCTTATCACCCACCTCCTAATCATCATTTCACACGTCAGCATTTTAGATTTTAGCCGGTCTGCAAGGCATGTAGTGGTATATAGTTATTGCTTAATTTCCAGTTCTCTAATGACACTCAGTGTCAGCAGTTTCCACACGCCTACCTGCTGACCATCTGCACACTGTTTGGTGAAGTATATTTTGATAATGAGCTGACCTTTCTGGTGTTATATATCTGTTGTTGGCTTGTTTGACTGTGGGTTTCTCACTATTACTCAGGCTGGTGTGAAACTTGTAGGTTAAAATGTTCCTTCTGCCTCGGCCTCTTGAGAGGCTGGGGCTCCAGCTGCATGCTGCCATGGCTGCTTTACTTCGTCTATTTTTTGATATAATATTTTTATTGATCTTTAAGAATTTTTTTTTTTTTTTTTTTTTTTTTTTTTTTTGGTTTTTCGAGACAGGGTTTCTCTGTGTAGCTTTGCGCCTTTCCTGGAACTCACTTGGTAGTCCAGGCTGGCCTCGAACTCACAGAGATCCGCCTGGCTCTGCCTCCCGAGTGCTGGGATTAAAGGCGTGCGCCACCACCGCCCGGCCTGATCTTTAAGAATTTTATGCAATGCATTTTGACTATACTCACCCCTATTCCTCTCCCTCACTCTCCCTGAGACCCAGCCCACCTCCCTTTCTCAATCTCTCCAAACTTTGTATTCTTATTTTTTAAAACAAGACTGTTCTCTACTCCTTTTTAGGGGCCTTAAAAAAAATGTTTCGGGGATGGAGAGATGGCTTAGCCGTTAAGAGTCTATACAGGACTGAGTTCAATTCCAAGAACCCATTTCACATGGCTCAGGATTAATTGTAACTCCATCTCTAGAGGATCTGGTACCCTATTCTAGACTGGAGGCACACTCCTGTGTGAGTGTGTATGTACACAAACACACAGACACAGACACAGACACAGACACACACACACACACACACACACACACACACACACACACAATTTTAAAAAAGCTTGGGACTGGAAAGATGGTTCAGCAGGTAGGAGCACTGGGTGCTCTTCAGAGGACCTGGGTCTGACTCCCAGTACCCATGTGATAGCTCACAGCTGCCTGTAACTCCAGTTCCAGGGAATCCCTCTTCTGGTCTTCTTGGGCACTGGGCATGGACATGGTGCACAGACATGTACATGCAGGCAAAACACTCACACACATGAAATAAAAATAAATCTTTTTAAAAACTGTTTTTCTTTTTAAAAAAAAGGCTCATTCTAATAACAAGCTTGTTTTTTCATTTTTGTTTTTGTTTTTGTTTTAATCCTCTGAATGCTAAGGAAGTTTCATGTAGTATAAAAATGTCTTAACCAACTTTTCCTATGTTGATCAAACACTGCCAGCTGTGGTTTCTAATCATTAATCATCTGGTAAGTGTTTCCTGATGTCTTCATGACGCCCACCTTCTCTCGGCGGAGATGACCAGCCAAGGTGCGGTCTGCCCACTCAGCTCCTGTGTTTCCATTTCCTGGCCCTACTGTGTGCAGCTTTGCTTCTGTACCCTGCCTGCGGTCAAGGACAATGTTCCTGTTCTTCCCAGGTAGTTTCCCCAAAGTGACGCTGGCCCTACAGGCGTTCTTTCTCCCTTCCGTATCTAGATCAACAAATTATTCTCTGTCTCTGTCTCATATATATATGTATGTGTGTGTGTGTATGTATGTGTATATATATGTATGTGTATATATATCTATAATATATATCTTTCTCTCTCTCTCTCTCTCTCTCTTTCTCTCTCTCTCTCTCTCTCTCTCTCTCTCTCTCTCTCTCTCTCTCCCTTTCCCTTCCTCCCTCCCTTTCCCTTGCTCTCCCTCCTGTTCCTCCTTCCTTCCTTCCTTTGATTATTTTTCCGGCAGGGTCTCACACTGTAACCCTGGCTTGGAACTCATAGTGTAGCCCAGGCTGGCCTCACACTCACCTCACCTTCCTGCATGCTGGGGTTACAGGTGTGAGCCAGCTTTCCTGGCTTTCCCTTTCTTTTGGGCTGCATTAGAGATGGGTAATGGGCTGGGAACAGCTACATGGGGTCGCAGGAGTTTGGCTGCTGCGATCGAATAAATAAACCTTAGTTATCCATGCCGAGCCTCAAGGGATGTGCGTAAGAGACCACTGGTGATTATAAAGGATAGAATGTAGAAAGGGGTTAACTCGATAGCCTAGAACGAAATACATACCATGTCGTCCCTCCTCCATCTCCCGTACCACTGTTTACAAATGTGGCCCAGAGGCCTTCATTTGAAAAAACTTAATTCTCATCTTCAATTAACGACCCAGTCTTTGTCCCTGGGTCCCGCCTGCCATCACCAGCTTTTTGAGAAATTATTCTCACTATAGATCCTTTCAATAAATTTTGTCTACCAGTTATTGCACTCCAAGTAGGGAACACATTGGCTGGTTTCAATACTCTCTCAAGTGCTAAATTTAGTAGATAACTGGAAATCAGCCTCACTTAGCCATTAACTAGTGGCTGGCGCACAGACCTCAGGCGCCTGCTTGCTTCTGCATCTAACCCCTCCGAGTGTTTGTTTCAGGCATGGAGTCATTTAGTAACTGGCTCTGAGTCACATAGCTACTTACAAGGCCCTGCATTAAGTATCATTGGCATAGATAGCATTGTTTCCTGCTTTTAAAATGCTAAAATTTTAATCAAAGAGACGACGGGTTCACGAGCCTTTGAGGGTAGGGTAGGATGGTATAAGAGTTGAAGGGCAGGATTTTTCACAAGACAAGTATTCTACCGCTGAACTCCATCCCCAGTATATTCTTGACATCTCTGTAGTAAACCGGGTGGCAGTAGCTGGGCAGGATTATATCTAGGTCCTTTATTCTATCTCACTGGTCATTCTGGGTGTTTGTCACCGCCATGCTGTTCTTGTTACTATAGTTTTGGTAGTACTTCCAACATCATTTACATGGGATATTTCATGCAGATATTTCCCCCAATGTGATGGCTATTCTTCATAGTCAACTTGACTATGTCTGGAATGAACTAAAATCCAGAAATGGAGGGCACACCTATGAGACATTTTCTGCTTGGTTTGAAGTGGGTGATTCTACTTCTAGTCCAAAACTTTGAGGTAGAAAGACACACACCTTTGATCCAGATCTTAAGTCGAGAAGACACAGGTCTTTAATCTAAATCTTGAAGTGTGAAGACATACCTTTAATATGGACCATACCTTCTGCAGGAAGTCTATATAAGGACGTAGAAGAAGGAAGCTTTTACTCTTTGCCTACTTGCCCTCGCCTTGCTAGCACATCCATTCTTTCACTGGCATTGGACCCTACTTTTTCAGTTATACAGAAGACCAGTTGTGATACCCAGCCTTGTGGGACTGAGCAACTACTAGATTCTTGGACTTTCCATTTACAGGTAGTCATTGTTGGATTAGTAGCCTGTAAGTCATTCCAATAAATCCCATATACACGTACGTGTTTGTATGTGTGTGTGTGTGTGTGTGTGTGTGTGTGTGTGTGTGTGTGTGTGTGTAGAGGTTCATTCCATAAGGTCCATGACTCTGGATAACCCTGACTAATACACCCCAGTAACCCCAAGTCAATATATCATAAAGATGTATGTGAGGGGGCAAAGTAAAGATATTACCAGTATGACTGCTCCATTATTAAAGAAGGTTTTTATTGTACATAAGAGAGA